CGCGTTGGCGATGGACTGGACTCGTCGGAGCAAGCGTCGAGACTCACAGACAGACACAGGCACGGGGAACATGCGTCACCCTTCTCACCGAGCAAACCCGTTTCGTTGAATTCCCGCTCCGTGCTACGTAATGCGAGGAAATGTCCAGCGGCTGGCGCGTGCCGTCTAGCAGCGCTGGCGTGGGGCCCGCGGAAGACTCGGAGAGTCAGAGCCGTGGTATGAGGAAGCAGACGAGGAATCCTTGGGGATCTCTGACCCAAGGTTACTCTGACCCCCGTGACCCCAGGAAACTCTTGACTTGTGACCTCGGTTACTGTTGACCCCCCACCGACTCTGCCCCGTGTTACAAAGTCACCCGCGACCCGGCGTCGCTCTGACACACGTGACCCTACGTGCCCGTCACCCCTAAACAGGGGGTCTGCCAGACCCCTTTTCCTCGGCCACACGGAGTCGTGGTGACCTCGCTCTGACGGATGTTCTCATTTCACTCTGACCCGAGGTGTCTCTCAACCATATCGCGTTCCCAGGTGACTCTGACCTCAGGTGGCGGTGACGCATATCTAGCACGGGTATAACACGTCCCTCTGTCTCTGCGTATGTCTGTTGTGTGTGTTTGCGTGCCGGTGTGAGTGAGACGCAATAGTGTAGCGGTTAGCGCTCCGCATTAGGAACCCGGCGAAGCGAGTTCGATTTCTGCTCACGGCCAATACCAGCGACGATTATCTGAATCGGTCCTGGGCCTCCACGCCCAGGTCGATTCAACCTCATGAGTACCTGGTGCAGTGTGTAAACATCGCCACTGGGGAGACAAAGCCGGTCGGGAGTGGTGCTGGCCACCCACCCCCTCGTGTGCCGTTATAATCTTCATAGGTGCTCGTTCACAGCACTTGCCTCAACAGTCTGTTATATGGGAAAAATGTTTTGTCTATGTATGAGTGTGTCTCTGTGCGTGAGTGTGTCTCTGTGTGTGTCTCCGTGTGAATGTGTGTCTCTGAATGCGTGTCTGTGTGAGTGTGTCTCTCTGTGAGTATGTGTCTATGTGTGTGAGTGTGTGTCTCTAGGTGTGAGTGTTTGTCTCTGTGTGTGTTTCTCGGTGTGTGTGTCTCGGTGTGTGAGTGTATGTCTCTGTGTGAGAGTGTGTGCCTGTGTGTGTCTCGGTGTGTGAGAGTGTGTGTCTCTGTGTGTGAGTGTGTGTCTCTGTGTGTGTGTCTCGGTGTGTGTGTGTCTCTCTGTGTGTGAATGTGTGTGTCTCTGTGTGTGCTGTGTGAGTCGCCCCCTTCACGCCATGCGCTCTGCCCAGCCCGTGTCTCTTGCGACACGCGGAGATAGATGAACGATGGTGCAATGAGAGACGAGGGGGGTGAGTGGTGGTGGTGGTGGTGTGGGGTGAATGTGGGGTGAGACGGGGGGTGGGGGTGTCAGAATAGGCGGGTTCTCTGCTGAGTCTGCATGGTGCAGGAAGGGGTGAATAGATGGCGGTGTGGGGGTGAGTGTGGGCGGTGAGAAAGGGTGAGTGGGTGGTACAGTGGGGTGAATTGGGAAGCGTGGGTGGCTGAATGTGTGAGTTCATTGATTAGGGTGTGTGTGATGCGTGATGGGTGCAAGTATGTATGTTGAACTTTTTCGCGCCGTACATAGCCAACCGTGCCGAGCACGGGCCTAGTGGGGGAATGAGTGGGGGGGGTGAGTAAATGGGGTGAGTGGGGGGTGAGTGGGGGTGAGTGGGGGTGAGTGGGTGGGTGGGGGTATCGCGGAATGATAGCCAGATAAGAGTTGGGATTAAAGGTCATCTTGAATGAACTTGGTGGAAATTATCACTGTCGGCATCATCATAATCAGCAACAGCATTATCTTGTTTTTTTTATCATGGTCAACAGTGCAAGCAGCATAATCATAATCATCACCATCAGCAGCAGAATCAACACAGTTATAAACCTGACGATCATCGTCATCAGATGCATGACAATCATCAGCAGCGACATCATCATACTCAAAATCATCAGCAGCAGCATCACCCTCACCCTTATCATCATGATCATCATCATAGGCACAATCTGATATCCTCAGCGTCAGCATCACCATCAATAATACCTTCCCATCATCATCATCATCTCTTTTCCCCAGCACTTACAATAATAGCCTTGCTTAAATGGCGGAATGTGTAACACGCTGGTGACGATGCTGTTTGTTGCTGGCCGCTTGACGTTTTGGGTCTTGGGGTTCTGTGCTCAGCATCTGTGTGAGATAAAATATATACCCATCATCACACAATGTATTAATTATTATTATTATCATCATCAAGCTTGTTCATCCATGAAAGCCTCACTGAGTCACGTGACTCCTGTACCCACCCTTACTGGACATCTGTGATAAAAAGATGTATATCTCATCGGAGTTCTCCGGTATAAATTCATATTCTGATTCTGTTCAGGAGGGTCTTGCCAAGTTTTCGCAGTCGCAGGAGGGGGGTGGGGGTGCAAATATGTATCTTATGCATACTTACATATAATCCCAATTGAGTAATTTGCGGTGTCATTTTTCAAATTTGCCCAAAATTTGGCCACACACGAAGGCCTCTGACCTCTTGCGAATGAGCGTCACGGGAAGGGGGCCATTGGGGCCCACTCCAAGCGACGCAGACGGCGCGCAGCAGGAGCAGAATCTTGACGGCGAACACCACAGACACCACAGCATTCACCAGGGAGGCCAGCTCGATTCGAACCTCTGCGACGCTGCTATACAGTTCCGCGTGATAAGCCACTTCGTTGAGCTATGATTTGTTGTCAGGTCGCTTCAACATGAACATCGTCACCATGACCACTGACATGATTGGCAGATGCACCACCATCGCACCACCTCCATCGCCGCGACGAGGGCCTCAGCCGTCGTTTGATCGTCGCTCCAGCTCCAATGTGGCCGTCCCTTGTCGGTGGCTAGGAGATGTTAACTACCTCGCCTGGTATACGGGAGGTCGTGGGTTCGATGCCGACCCTGACGATGCCTGCTGCTGTATATTTGAAGTTTGCGTGTCTCTCTCATCATCATCACGATGCCTGCTGCTGTATATTTGAAGTTTGCGTGTCTCTCGCGCCGTGGCCGCGTGGATTTTTCTCCGGTTCCTCCGGTTTTCACCTCCACATTTAAGAAACGTGCGTCTCGGGTATTCGGCTGCTTTAAATTTGTACCTGATGAGACCCCACTTCGTTGAGGTATAATTTGTGCTAGCCAGGTCGCTTCTAAAAAAAGAGCCGTAGTTTAGCTCAGTGGGCATCGCCGAGTAAAAATAAAATAGTTTATCTTCTGTGTTCTTTGGGTAAAGTCACGTAGAATGAAGATGAATCCCTGCAGTCACGAGAGCTTTAAATCGAAAAATAAAATAGTTTAGTTCTAGTTTAAACCGCGGGCGCGCCGCCGCTACCGTGTCCCCCCCCCCCGCCCGACCATTCCTTGTATAATGGCAGGGCATTATTTATGGACGGCGCGGAGAGAATGAACTCTTACAGTCGTCCTTTGTGCTGGCTTGGGGGACTCGTGGAGCCACCCACCCGTGCATGCGGAGCGCAGGCGAGAGGCGCAGTCGCTAACTCGGGCGATATTAACGTTTAACCAAAGCCAGAGGGGGAACCAGCGAGCGCCCGAACGCGTGTTTATTTGCGCAGAGTCGGGTGTCATAAGCGCTTGGGATAATTCCAACATCATGCCCATAGCGCGTGTGTAAGCGTGCGGTTCCGTGTGTCGCGTCGCCCACCCTCCCCCGCGCACCCGCGCGTCTGTGTGTGTGTGCTTGGGGAGGTGGTGCATCGGGGAGATGGTGCATCGGGGAGGTGGTGCATCGGGGAGATGGTGCATCGGCCAGTCATCTCAGTCAGTCGACCCGTGGCACCTGGGTCTGCCCCGTGACCTCCTGTCGGCGGGCGCTCGACACTTCACGTGGCTTCAACGTGCACATAGCCTGGCACAAGCGTCGTGGTGTCACGTCACCGCTACTTAGTGGCGAATGGCGGTTGTTGTTATCCTTGGGGAGCGGTAGTGCAGCAGTTGTAGCGCTGGGGTTGTAGCGCAACGCTGCACACTGCGCTTCAACCCCCTGCGAGCCGAATTCGATTCCTGCTCAGGGCCTACACCAGTGACGATTATCCGAACCGGACCTGGGCGTCCCCGAGGTCGACTCAGCCTCAAATGAGTACCTGGTGCGGTGTCTAAACATCGCCACCGGGGAGACAAAGGCGCTGGCCAACCACGCCCTCGTGTGCCGTGCCGGCCTTCATAGGTGCTCGCTAACAGCACTTGCCCCAACAGTATGTTAAATCTATACGGGGGATCTTTGTCTTTGTTATACTGTATGTGTTTGGGGGGGGGGGGGAGTTGGCGCAGTGTGATAAAGTGTGGGAACTCCCCACCGCTTCCAAGATGTCTGATCAGCGTGGAAGAGTAGGCCAAAAACCATCGAGCTCTCTCGAGTGTAGACCCCTTCGGCCAGCAGTGGGGAGAGAATCCTCACTGAGGAACGAGAGCAATGAATGTACCACGCCGTGACTTTGCCCGCCGTGCCGTTTGTATGCCTGCGCGTGCCAAATCGGCCACGCTCTTCCATTTCGAACATTCCACTCGGAAACGAATTCCGGCTCGTAACATTTATGAACCGGTAGCCAATTTTGACAAAGGTTGGCGGTTATCGCTTAACAACTTCTGAGCGTTGTACCTAACAAATAACAACAACAAACACGCCACGTGTATGCGAGCTGATATAGTACGTGTATGCGGATATAAGGATTCGTTCGCGTTGTGTTGTCGAAACATAAATCAGTGACATTGTCCGCAGACTACGATACCCTTGACACTCGTGCGCGCACAAAGACAAAGATCCCCCGTGTAGCCTGAACAGACTGTTGGGGCAAGTGCTGTTAGCGAGCACACCACAGACACACACGCACGTGGCTTGCCCTGGACGGCTCTCTGTGTATTAATGTGATCACGTTTTTGTATTTCCCAATGAACAGGGTAGGTTTTCAGACGGGACACAACCGCGCCCCACCACCACCACACTCTATCAGCTTCCCAACAAACTCTGGTGAGTTCTGTGCCGGTGCGTGCGTGGTGCTGGCCACCCACCCCCTTCGTGTGCCGTGCCGGCCCTCACAGAGGAGGTGCTCGCTCACAGCACTTGCCCCGACAGTCTGTTCAGGCTGCCTCATGACCAACATCCGACCTGAGTCTGGGCCTGCCCTAGGTCGATTTAGCCTCAAATTAGTAGCCCGATGCCGAATATCTCATCGCATCGCTGTCTCGCCCTTTATTTAGCCATTTAGCTCCACTGATGGTAGCCGGTGTCGAATTAACGACGCCCACTTTGTCTCTCGACGGCGGCGTTCGCTGTGTTCGTGGTCACGCGCCAATGAGGAACACATTGGGGAGGGGGCCGACGTGAGAATGGGGGGCGGGGAAGGGGTCTCCAAGCAAGCCCCCCTGCTGCGATTCTGCTGCGGACTCGACCCGCGCTCGTGTTAGCGACGGCGCGCTGTAACAGGGTAACATTAATCAGCCATGGCTATGATATGTTGAATACATGGTGCCTATGTGTTCGAGCATAGATCGCGCTTTGTATCGTCAGCAATCGGTCGATTCCCGTTTAATCGGGCATTGGATCGTTTAAAATACGTCGATTCACGTTCTAGTATTCCTCATGTGGGCAAAGCCACGTCCCATTAATGTGAAATATAATTTACAGCTTTTTGCTGGTCATGGAAATTAACCATACTTCGCCATTCTGGTCAATGCGAGGCTGAGTCGACCTAAGTGAAGCCCAGGATCAGTTCCGATAATCGTCACCGGTGCTGGCCGTGAGCGGGAATTGAACTCGGGGTCGCCGGTTTCCTAACGCGGCACGCTAACCGCTACGTGACCGCTCCCCAAGACAAAGACAAATATCCCCCATATAGCCTTAACAGACTGTAATGGCAAGTGCGGTTAGCGAGCACCTATGATGGCCGGAACGGTACACGAGGGGGTGGGTGGCCAGCACCACGCCCGACCGCCTTTATCTCCCCAGTGGAGATGTTTACACACAGCACCAGGTACTCATTTGAGGCTGAGTCGACCTAGGGGAGGCCCAGGACCGGTTCAGATAATCGTTCCCGGTGTTGGCCGTTAGCGGGAATCGAACCCGGGTCGCCGGGTTCATAGCGCAGCACGCTAACCGCTACACTACTGCTTCCCCAAGACACACACACACAGGCACACACAGACACACACACACGCGCGCGCACACAGGCAGACGACTAAGCTCCTAATTGATTAATCTTCGGGCATCTCCCATCACTGCGAATCCCCGGAGAAGCCCATGCCTGCAAGGGGAGTGACACAGTCAGCAAACCGATGCAATATTTCCCCGTTGTCTGCCAGGGCGTCGCAAACCAATTTGGCCACAGCGTCCCCCGCTCCAGCGGGCGTAGAACTTGCAAACGAAGGCTCCCCGGGGCGATGACTCGAGTTAGGGATTTCATTGATATTCAATGAAAGGTTAATGCTGTTTCTTTAAGAAGCCATTTGGCGGTATGGGTGGGTGGTTGGTTGGTTGGGTCCGTGAGTGGGTGGGCGAGTGGGTGGGTGAGCGAGTTGTTGGATGAGTGGGTGGGTGAGCGAGTTGGTGGATGAGTGGGTGTGTGAGTTGGTGGATGTGTGGCTGAGTGGGGGCATTGGTCAATCAGTTGATAGGTGGGTGGTCGCGTGAGTGTGTTGGTGAGTGACTAGGTGGGTGGGTGAGTGTGTGGGTAGGTTAGTTGGCGGATTGGTGGGTGATAGCTTGAATGATTGGTTGAATGAATGGGTGAGGGGGTGGGTGAGTGTATAAGTGGATGGGTCAGTAGATAAGTGGGTGGGTGATTGGATGGGTGGGTAAGTGGGTAAGTGGGTTGGTGGGTGTGTGGAGGGGTGGCTGGGTGTGTGGAGGACTGTGTGGGTGGGGAGACAAGGTCTGATCTTTCTGGGGAGTGAATCCAAGGTCACAGCGAGCAGCCATCATGGTGCCACTGTCACAGAGGTGCCAAACCCGGACGTGGCAGTGAACTCTTGGGTACAGCTTCACAGCCTTCACGATGTAAACTTGCACGACGATAATCCTCCTGCTCGCTCTCCGCTGCCTTCTAGAGCCACGAGTCAAGGGGTTCTGAATGAGATAATTATATGTTTTGCTAAAAACTACGCTTCAATTGCGCTGCCGCATGAGTTAAGTTTTGAAGACACCGATAAAGTCGCTCGACTCGCATAAAACGCCATAATCCCACGTAGAGTCCCAGACTCATAGACTTAGATGGAGACCGATATAGCCACACAGAGACCCACAGACCTACACAGAGACCCATAGACTCACATAGAAACATGTGACTGTTGATTACCTCGATCTAAAATCGATATGGTCATTGTATACAGCGTCTAGAGGTGGCGCTCGCATCCATACGAAATACAAGCTCACGCCGTGTTGTACTGCACTGCCGTGTGTCCGGCCGCCTCTGGCGTTGATTATCGGGGACTGCGCCTGGGTTATTATTTCACAAGACGCAGTCACAGGCAGCTAATTCACACGGCACGCTCGCGCGTGTGTGTGTGCACATGCGTGGGGAGCGGTAGTGTCGTGGTTAGTGCGCTGTGTTGCAGACCCACCGACCCAAGTTCGATTCCCAGTCACGGCGACATCGGTGGGATGAGCGATCAATCTGAACCAGTCCTGAGCCTCCCCTAGGTCCACTCGGCCATGCCGGTCTTCATAGGTGCCGCTCGCTAACACCACTTGCCCCAAAAATCTGTCTAGGCTATACGGGGGATCTTTGTCTTTTTGGGGAGTGGTAGTGTCGCGGTTAGCGCGCTGCGCTACGGACCCGGCGACCCGAGTTCGATTCCGAGTCACGGCTACGTCGGTCCTGGGCCTCCCCTAGGTCGACTCGGCCTTAAACATCGCCAGTGGGGAGACAAAGGCGGCAACGGGGCGTGGCGCTGGCCACTCCGTGCTCTCTCTCACTCGTGCTTCGCGTCGGCTTTCACCGGGGGTGCTGCCCGCCGATAACATTGCCGTTGTTATTAAAAGCTACTCGAGATCCCCCCCCCATCCACACTCAGCAAAAATCATTGTCACAGCCACCCTGCACCCCCGGGGGGAGGGGGGCGGGGCTTTTAAACCACGACGGCCCCCCCCAGCCCCCCCGTAGCGTCAGCCCCACCGAGCCGTCTCGAACCGCGTGACGTTCGCACGGACCCGCGAGGTCACTGGCGACGTCGCGGGTTGCCGGGATGATGATGGACGGTGAGAGCGTGAGCGTGGCCACTTCCGATCGAGACTCGATATCGCGATCGGTGACGCGGGGTGTATCAATGAGGGTGCGACGGGCAGGGGGGCCGCGTCCACCTTCTATCGGCTGGAGCGTCTCACTCCACGGGGGGGGGGGGGGGATTACTTGGTTCACCGACGATGATGATGGCGGAGGTGACGATTGTAGAGTAGCATGTCCATCATAACAGAAGTAATATTGTTTGGCGATGCTGCTGCTGCAGTGGTGCATCAGCACACGCAACAACGGGAGAGAAACACATTCGTCAATAACACTGTGGGGGCCTTAGCACACAAATCGTTCTATAATAGGCAACGTTTCGGGCAATGAGCCTTCTTCACATAGCACATGAGCATTGACGTCACTTCCTCAGGGAGTGTGTATCGATGTTGGTATCGGGGTGTGTGTATCGATGTTGGTATCGGGGTGTATCGATGTTAGTATCGGGGAGTGTGTATCGATGTTGGGTACCAGTTTGACCCGGGCTTGACGAAACCTCAACTTGTCATTGCGACACTCACGGAGACGGGACAATCGTGGAGAGTGGAGTGGAGGAGGTATAGTGGCAGGGGTAGTAGGTGAGTGTGGTAGGTGAGTGGGTAGGTGAGTGGGGTAGGTGGGTGGGGTGGGTGAGTAAATGTGGGACGAGTCGCCAACTGGATGAGTGAATGTTGTAGTGGTGGTGAATATTTCGCAATGCTAACATTGTGTGAAACTGTCTTGTCTGGCCCCCCACCCTAGACCCCCATGCCCGCACCCTCCACCCCCACCAGCCCCTCTCACCCCTGCCCCAGACCTCAGAGTCCTCTCGGCGCAGCGATGCTCCAGGCGACGAGAGAGGAATGGGTGAGTATATAGGGTGAGGTAAGTGGGTGGTGAGTGAATGGGTGAGTGAAGGTGGCTCAGTGAGTGAGTAAAGAGTGTGAGTGAATATGTGAATGGGTGAGTGAGTGGATAAGTGAGTGAAGGGAGAGTGAGTGAAGGGTGAGTGAGTAGGTGAGTGAGTGAAGGGTGAGTGGGCGAGTGAGTGGATGAGTGAGTGAAGGGAGAGTGAGTGAAGGGAGAGTGAGTGAAGGGTGAGTAGGTGAGTGAGTGTAAAGTAGGTGTGTGAGGTTGTGGAGTGTGATGGGTGCTGGGTATAGGGGTAGAGTGGTGGTTGGTGTTTCTGTTGGTGGTGATGGTGGGAAGTGGTAGTGTAGTGGTTGGCGCTACGCTGCGCTATGAACCCAGCGACCAGAGTTCGATTCCCGCTCACGGCCAACAGCAGTGACGATTTTCTGAACCGGTCTTGGGCCTCCCCGAGGTCGACTCAGCCTCAAATTAGTACCTGGTGTGGTGTTTAAACATCGTCACTGGGGAGATAAAGGCGGCCGGGCGTGGTGCTGGCCACCCATCCCCTCATATGCCGTGCCGGCCTTTATAGGTGCTCGCTAACAGCACTTGCCCCAACAGTCTGTTAAGGCTATAGGGGAGGAGGGGAATCTTTGTCTTTGGTGTTATGGAGTGTGTTTGTGACGTGTGGTTGTTGGGCGATGTGTGGTTGAGACTGAATTGTCGTCATCGACTGCGTCGTCGTCATCATCATCGTCATCATCGTCATCATCATCGTCATCATCATCGACTGCATCATCGTCATCATTGTCATCATTGTCATCATCGACTGCATCATCGTCATGAATCGTCACTGAACCTGGAGGACTGGACTCGAGTCCCAGCGACGGCTGACATCAGTGGAGAGAGATTCCTGAACCAGTCCTGCATCGGCATCACCTGTGCCTGGAATCAATCATCATCATCGTTGGCTGAAGCTGGATGATGATAACAATGATTATATTATCATTGAAATGTGCTGAATATGAAAATTCATTTTATTATCTATCAGACATCTCCGATTAGCACGGTTGGCTACGTACGGTGCGAAAAAAGTTCAACATACATGCTGATAGGGCTATTGCCTGGAAGGTCACCTACGAGGTTTGCTTCACTTAACGGGCACGGTGATGTTGAGGGACCTGTTGAGTTGTTACGCTGATTAATGCATTTTATCTACGAAGGATCGTCAGAACTGAGTCTCAAGATTCGTTTGCGGGAGGGTCCTGCTACATTGGGACGTTTGGCCGATTCGTTATTGAGTGCAATGGAAACTCGGTCGGGTGTGATCACGCACTGTGCCTATTACTGAGCATGACGCGATATAAGTTAATTGTATATTCTCGGCAAATTGCTACTCATTATGTGGCAGATGTGTATAATTACTTACATAAACGCGCATATGAACGCGTACACACATACTAACACACACACGTTACCACACACACACACACGCGTATACACATGCATACTTGCATTCAAGCACAGGCACACTCTCACATACACAAAGACATACACACGTACAAACACACACGCTAACTCTTATACACATGCATACAATCTCACACAAACACACCATATATCTCTGGCCTCTTGGCCATGAAGAAGTGTTTGTCCGAAACGACGTATGTGATATATATTTCATTTTAAGGCAGCGTGCGGAGCTATTGACAAACGCGCTGAGTTTGTAGTTGGTCGAAAGTCAGGAGCGTGCGATCGCGATGCTGGTACTGGCGCGAACGCGGGGGTCAAGAGGTCATCGTCACAGCGGATGAAGGTCGAGCGGAACGAATGGCCCAGGAACCGGATCGATGCTTTGCTGGAGCTGGTAAAATGGAACCAGATCAACTAACCAACGGATTTGGTCCCCTTCAACCAGCTTGAGCTACGCATTATATACCACGCCACGCCAGGCCACGTCGCGCCACGATGGGTGTCATCATCATTGTTGATGTTGGGCATGGGGCCTGCTGATGTCATGATGCGGGTTAACGACCACGCCGAGTGAACCGTCTAAGTGTTTAATCGTCACGGCACGCGAGGTGCGACTGCGCGCGAATGCGTTTAGCAGTCGTCAGGCGCGCGTGCGGCGTGTAACGAGTTTGTAACTTCAAGGGGAGGTAGACTGGTAAGGTGGGGAAGACGTCGAGTGGGTGAGCGCTGATCAGCGGAATGTTTTGGTCGAACGCGGTGTTTTATCGATGGTGCTCAGCGCTTGATCGCGGATTCACTCGTTTGTGTTGTGCACGTGGCGGTGGTGACGACGGCGACGATGATGATGACGACGATGATGACGATGACGACGATGATGATGATGACGACGACGATGATGACGACGACGACGATGATGACGACGGTGATGATGACGACGACGATGATGACGACGACGAGGATGACGTCTGCACGGCGGATGAAGAAAACGCACAAAGCAACGAGTCTTCTTGGTGTCGAAATCAAACTCGCGGGTAATTGTTTACACCGACAAAACACTCTGAACTATTCAAATGAAACGGCCAAACATTACCAAGAATTAGCACTACCCTCCTGCAAAGGGTCTTGAGACTCGGTTTGACGTTCCTGGGTACATGAATTGTATTATTGTTGTTACTTGTTATTTTTGTTAACAAAGCAAATGAATACTCACTGCACCGTATTGACTACCGGGACGAGTGCTGCTCATGAGCGCCTATTAATACGGAGAGGGAACAGCACTCAGTGGGTTGGTATGTATGTAGGTATGTATGTTGAACTTCTTTTGCACCGTACCTGTGGCCGCTAATGACGCCACCTGATCGGCCACGCTGAGTACCGTTCACAGCAACCGCGTGGCTATCGCTTGCTGGCGATTCTATAAGCGTTTTAAAAAGTTTACGATACAGGGACTCCACTATTTACGAACGTTCGACCTACGAACTTTCAGAGATACGAACAAACCTGCTCCGTATGTCCAGTTGCCCGTTCGGACCGAGAGTCGTAAGTTTAACCGCCGCGCAATAGATGGCGGTGGTGGCATCTACATCTGCGAAACATGAAGAACCAGTGGCATCTACATCTACAGGAGATTATACAACTTGTAAAGACATTCCCCGTGTTTAGTGTACACGCCGTAGAACGCGTTTGGAATCGAAAGGAGTGAAGTTGGACTTGCGAACAAATCGACTTACGAACAGACCTCTGGAAACTAACGCGTTCGTAAGTCGAGGAGTCTATGTATATTCAAAACTCAGCTGCCCGAGTTTCAACCAGATCTTTAAACCATGTGAACATATCCCTCAGATGCTTTCCTCCCTGCACTGGCTCCATGTAAAGTAAAGCGTCGACGTTACGATTCGACGTCTCACGCGTAGGGCCTTGGATGGGTTGGCGCCTAAATATCTCACCACCGATCTCCTTACGTTTGATATTCCACTGCAACAACGTAGATCTGCCGATTGCTCTCAACCACTCATTATGATTCCATAGGCCACGCCGTGCTGTCGATCTATGGGAGAGATTCGTGCAGCCAGGATTGTGGAACTCCCTTCCTCGGTCCATTCGGGAATCGGGAGTCTGTAACACTTTTTTAATCGCGTCTTAAAACTCACCAGTTGTGGGGGGGTTTTTGTTTGTTTTGTTACAACCCGCTGTCTCCATACTGAACACACTTCATGTAAAGCGCTCTGAGGCATTGTGCCCATTGCGCTATGAGCCAACGAACCGGAGAGAGGGGGGCAGGTGCCAAGCAATTAAAGGGATCGATTTTGACAGGGGACGAGGGGTGTCCTGTCCATACGAGCCACGCGTCGCCACTGTGTTCATTGTGCATCACTGTGTTCATTGTGCATCACTGTGCCTCGCCCAGCCAGACGAAGGCTCCTCCTGGGTTCAGTCAAGTGGCGTGGCTATCGAGTGTGCAGGCTGAGATTCTGCACCCCCTGCACACTCTAGGCCACTGAAGACCCAAAGCCTCGCATGGAGACCCGTAGACTCAAATATGACCAAAAGTAAACCCAAAGACACGTAGACAGATACATTCATAGCGAGTGAGATACATTAAAGGCGAGCCACAGTAGTGCGACTGTGGCCATGTAATCCAAACTACAGACCGTAGAGTGAACCACTGTGGGCCTGCGCTCCTTCAACGGAGGAGGGGGAACAGCGACACGACACGAACTCTCTCTGTCTGCTGAAGCCCTCTCGTCGTGGCCAGCAACAACACGCCTCGACATTGGCATCGTGCGCCTGAACCAGATCACTGCTGACATCGTGCGGGAGAATAGAATAGAACTCCCCGCGTAACTACCCATGTAACTACAGTACCCATGTAACTTCAGTGCCCATGTAACTACAGTACCCATGTAACTACAGTACCCATGTAACTTCAGTACCCATGTAACTACAGTACCCATGTAACTACAGTACCCATGTAACTACCCATGTAACTACAGTACCCATGTAACTTCCCATGTAACTACAGTACCCATGTAACTTCAGTACCCATCTAACTACAGTACCCATGTAACTACAGTACCCATGTAACTACAGTACCCATGTAACTTCAGTGCCCATGTAACTACAGTACCCATGTAACTACAGTACCCATGTAACTTCAGTACCCATGTAACTACAGTACCCATGTAACTACAGTACCCATGTAACTACCCATGTAACTACAGTACCCATGTAACTTCAGTGCCCATGTAACTACCCATGTAACTACAGTACCCATGTAACTTCAGTACCCATGTAACTACAGTACCCATGTAACTACAGTACCCATGTAACTACCCATGTAACTACAGTACCCATGTAACTACAGTACCCATGTAACTACCCATGTAACTTCAGTACCCATGTAACTACAGTACCCATGTAACTTCAGTACCCATGTAACTACAGTACCCATGTAACTACCCATGTAACTTCAGTACCCATGTAACTACAGTGCCCATGTAACTACAGTACCCATGTAACTACAGTACCCATGTAACTTCAGTACCCATGTAACTACAGTACCCATGTAACTACAGTACCCATGTAACTTCAGTACCCATGTAACTACAGTACCCATGTAACTACAGTACCCATGTAACTACCCATGTAACTACAGTACCCATGTAACTTCAGTGC